TGGCATTTTTATTTTTTTTTTATTTAGTCTCTAACTGCACCCTTTTGCATACACAATGATTTCTTTTGGTTGACTGCACTATACAAAGGTTACAAAAAAGAAAAGAGAAAATGTCATTTTAATTTTTACACGTGCATAAAATATTTGCACTAGCAATCATGTAAACTAAAAGTACAGTGTGTAAATGTAAGGGTTCACTTACTTGTGTACATCTTAATTTTTAATTAATATTTTTACTCCAGCTTAAAAAAAAAAAAGCATTTTGAAAGTGGTTGTAATTTGTTTAATGAAGATTTTTCTCAATGAATTATAGTTTGAGATTTATCAGGTGGTTTATATTAGGGGTTCACTTACTTTTGCACTGTGCATGCATATATATATATATATATATATATATATATATATAGTCATAAGATGTGCTATATTTATAGGATAAAGTGCTCGATATCAGAAATAGAGCATATGTAAATATAAAAATATGTTCTCTTATATATATTCAATCTGATTAACTCGACTATAGTCTTTTTTGATGTATAAGGGTTTAGCAGTTCAGCTCTTAGAATCAATAGGTAGACTACTTGCACATATCATTTGATCATAGTGGTAAACACTTGTACAGAACTGACCACACTTTTTAGAAGATTTGAATGCAGATAATTGGTGCACACTATTCCACTAGGTCCCCAAACAACACTATGTAGGTTTTCTATTCAGAGTTGTCCTTCTCATAGACTGGTTGCCTACCCAGGGATATAGAACCCAAACTTTCTTAATGGTGTGAGATGAAATGGATTCACACCTTTCCCAAGGGTACTTGCACATAAGTGAATGTAATGAACTCAACTGGAATTCAAACTCTACTCTCCGATTCCTCAATCCAAGTCACAATCATTTACTTCTCCGTACCTCCAATATCTAAATTCTATGATAGAGGATAGGTAAGAAAAATGGATGAAGAAACATAAAAATGAACTAAATTAATTCCCTGATATATTTCTAAGATGAGGTATTGTAACTATTTACATAATTCGCCCTCATTTTTATTGCTGTAGTCACGTTTCGGCTGTTCTATGCTCTGACCTTCAAACTGAACTCTTAATTATCTTCTAACAAAACACTTCAGTAGCAATAGACAACATTTAATTATACTCCATTACACAAATTTTAAAATTCTTTATATTTTCAGGACTTAATTTTTGAACAGTGTCTTGAAAAGGTAGCATTATTTATAAAACCAGAATCAATGTGGCTAAGGTGTTTTTATTAAGTTATTTTGAAATTACATAAAGTTAATCAAATCTAAAAGTATGTTTATTAGTCTTATTAGGTACCAATTTTTTTTCAATTTTTCTTTGCCAATATCAATAAACAAAATTTGTAATTTATCAGCAATTTTTTTTTTTTTTTTTTTTTTCTCAGCTGTAATTTTTTAATTTAACATACAGTTTTAAAATTGATTCAAGTTAGACCAGAGATCCATATCAAGATTTAAAATGTATTGAAACAGGATTAAACAGATCAGAATTCTTTTGAGACTTTGTGTCGAGGCTACCAAAGGCTGTTTTTAAAACCAATTTTTATCTTTAAATATTATTAATATTTTTAATCCATTCCTACCAAATATCTTAAGCATATTAAATAAGATGGAATTTGTAATATACATGTGGTTACCATTGAAACCTGTTAGCTTGGATGGACTTTTCTTATTACATTGAATAATAGAATATTCTGCTCCAAATACCAAGCAAAATAGAAAATTTATTCTCAATAGGCATTTTTTTTTTTTTTTTTCCTGCTATAATAGTAGGTTCCTCCATTAGGTCACGTAAAAAAGCAGCATATCACGATTAAAAAACGCTCGATTGTGACGAGGTGATAACAGATTACTATGGATGATCAAAATTGACAATTTTTGCAAAGTAAGCGACCACGGTTTTTCGTTTTTAACTAGTACTTTTTAAATATTAACATTTTTATTGAGCAATTATGTAATATCTTTTTTATTTCATACTTTCTTAATTAGGTAATTATTTAAAGTTTTTTATTAATTAGATAATTGTTTAAAATTTTTTAAGGATTATGTCGTGTATACATTTCCATACGTAGAAATTATGATTTTTTTTTTTTTTTTTTTTTTTTTTCAATAAAAATTTTTAAAATTATTTTTAAAATATTTGGGGTCAAACGACTGTTATGTGCTTTTCAAATTTTGATTTGTAAATTTACTTTTTTATTAACGTTATTGAATTACGTGCTTGAAAGCAATAAAGAATTTTAAATGATTTTTGAAGTATTAAGAAGTTAATGAAAATTTTTAAAATTTGTAAAAAAAAAAAAAATACATTATTCATCGAAAAAATTTTATTTCTTCATAAAATAATGTCCTTAGTATAACATATTTATAAAAACAGGTGAAAGCTTTTCTAATTAATTAATGTCATAGTTTTTACATATTTTTTTTTTTATTATTCAGAGCAGATTTTTTATGATATGGGGTACTGTTTTACAAAAAAAAAACTGATTTACTTTCTACAAAGAGTCCTGTTTATAACTAATAAAACAAATTCCGCGCTTGAAGATTTAATTTCTCAAAATTTCATGAAAATATGTAAGTGGGTGGAAACATGTTTTTTAAAAAAAAAAAAAAAAATTTAAAAAATAATTTCATTCATTTGTGAATAAGTCCTGAAAGTTTCATTAAAATCCGACAATTATTTGATTTTTGCAAGAATTTTTAAACTTAGGTATTGAAAATTTATGCCAAAAGTGGAGAAACCTATATAATAGCTTGAAATTTTTTTTTTTTTTTCTAGTAATTAAATGATTTTCTCTTTCAAATATGTTCCCTGGTACAATACACATGCAGGGTGCGATGTGTAAATTGTCGCCATTTTATATTTTTCATTTCATGCATGTATGTTGTTTGTTTTTGATTTTGTTGATGGCACAGTAGAGTCAGTGGGGCACTGTCTGTAAGAAAATGATGCAATTCACTTTGCCAGAAACTTGGAAATGGCATGCTGTACTGCATTCATACAGTAAACTTCAATGTGAACATTTCAGAGTGTTTGGATGTTAATCTGAGGACAGTCCAGAGGATTCAAAAAGAGATGGATAAGTCTGATGTTGGTACCTCTGCTAATTTTCGATACCTAAGGTTTAAAATGAATTTTTAAAAAATGTAAAAAGCATTCTTGAAGCTCTCATTTTAGCTTTGATCGAAAGCTAAATGATTAAATTGTCTATTTTCCAGTAAGTGGTTTTTGGTCACTTTCAGTAAAATCATTAAAATTGGCCATTTTTGACACATTTGTAAAAAAAAAAATTCTTGGTTTTAAAAATCTTCCAAAAATAAAATCTACTTTTCTGAAACTTTATTTGAGGAATATTAGCTGATTTAAAGTATAATTAATCTGACTTGGAAAAAAAAATTACTTTTTGTTTAAAATAACAGAAATAGATTTTTAAAACTGGGTCCAGAGGATGGCTGCTGGAAGATTCTGTCTGGCAACAGGACACTGCAACATGTGACACAAGCAGGAGAATCCAGTCATGGCTGTCAGACAGTTTCAGCAACCACATCCCCACTTACATCTAACCTAACAACCTGTGCCACAATCCCCTTCATTATTATGTGTGGGTTGCAGTTGACCAACAAAACTCCTTGTAGATTCTGAAGTAATCTGGAGACCATGAATTTATTGAATAAATTTACTCTTTAGTATTTCAAAATATTTTTGTGTAATTTTGGTAAATATATCTGTTAAAATAAGATGTCAGCGTTATTTTCATTTTTGTGTAATTTAGACGACAGTTTATGCATCGCACACAGTATAATACCAATAGTCATATAGCTAGACAAACACAGAAATGTTCTGTTTTCGTAATATCTTCATCCTTACCAAATTTCTTTTTCATTATATGATGCAACATATGCAGAAATTATGCAACTCTTGACAAAAACTGTGATGCTCTTTTTTTTTTCTTTTTTTTTTCTATGCCAACAAATGGGCACGTCTCAACAGCCAACATGCATGTGTAAAGGGATTTCTTTTCCTCCAGATATTTTTTGAAATGAGTCCTTTCTTCCCTCCCCCTCTCAATTTATATTAATTGTAAAATGTTTCAGTGGTGATAAACTTTTAGATTTCACTTATATAAAATGTTATTTTAACATTTTTAAGTTCAACTAATACTTTACATGTGTTGCTAGGACAACCGTGCACCACTCCCGCCCCCAACCCTTCAGCTTACCCCAAAACTTTTTTTTATTATTATTATTACCTTTTACTCCTGCAGAATACTCTTTTTTTGTTAGTATTCCTTCAACTTTTTCTCAACTGTTCTCCTATTTTTACTTCAGGGAGAATTCAAAATGTTCTCCTCTTTCTCTCTCCCACCATTCTTCAAAAGGTTGTCCTTTGTGTATATGTCTACCTGCTAAAAAAGGACTTTGGGGTTTCAATATTTACCTACTCTCAAGGAGGAGAGAACTATTAGATGTGGGTGACAAGATCAGTGAATAAACTGATGCTTAATTATAAATTTCACCTTCCTGCAATACCTTCTTTCTGTTCATTCTCACCTGAATAGATTAAAACATAACTTGTTAAACATTTCTACTTTTCCAGAATTTTTTTTTTTTTATCCATATTTGAATTTTTCTCTGTCTCTCTCTCTCTCTCCCTCTCTCAGTGAAGGGTTGATTTTCAACTGAAATTTTTGTCCCTTAATTTTTAACCTATGTAAATAATCCATACTCCCCAAAATCAATTATCTTGCCTATAAAAACATATTGATGTATTTATTTGCCTTTTCATTGTCCTCCTTATCAATTGTTTTAAAATGTCTAATTCATTTCTCTTTATTGAAATAGTGCCTTCATCTCTAATGATGTAAGGTTATAATTGGTGTTAGTTGATTGTAGCCACATTAGCAACTAGCCAAACCTTTCCTCCAGCAGCTTCTTATATTTTCCTTTTTCCTTTTTGTAATCATAGATGGATCGAAAATGTCGCAGTTGTTGTTCGTGCTAGAAAATTACATGGAACCAACTAGTAAGTTATGAGATCGTTAGAGATGCTGTTGCCAAGAAACCAATCAGGATTCTTCACTCTCTTTTTTTTTTTTTTTTTTTTTTTTTTTTTTTCTTTTTTCCAACTACTTTTCTTTCTTCCTATTTTCATTTTCATGGCTTAGTTCTGCCTTTTCTCTTCATTTCATTCATTCTCTTCTATTTAAATTTTTCATTCTCTAATCCTATGCATAAAACAAAAAAACTTATAAAACCTCCCTCCATTCAACTATAACTCTTTAGGGTCCCAACCAGCTCTCTCAACAATCCATGTTTCTTAGAGTTTTCTTTTTAACAAATGTTTCTTTCAACTGGCAGCCACTTTATTTACAGGCCATATTCTTCTTGTCCTTATTGGGTCGAAATTCTTCAGTTACCTTTGTTAATGAATGCAAAAATTGCTGAAAATGTCTTTCTATTTATCAAGTAATGAAATAAACTTCCATTTTCAAGACGAGCTCAAAATCTTCTGCCAAGTGTGATAATTCTTAATGACTATTTGATATTTTAAAAATACAGAAACGTTCAAGAGTAGTGACAGACTGAAAACTTAAAAATGAACCATTTCCACGTCTGCAGATTTGATCATGATAAAAATAAATATTTAAAAAAATCTCATTCTATACTCTGATAAATTTTCATAATAGAAGCAATAGAACCATTTTTAGAGTAAAAACGGTTTTTTTATTTTATTTATTTTTTTTTTTTTTTTTTTAAGTGTAATGCCTTAAAAAAATTGCATTGCCCTAAATTTAAAAAAAAAAAAAAATTGCAGCACCCTAAATTAAAAAGCCATGTTGTTTCTATTTCTGTGTATTCTATTAAAAAAAAAAGAGAGAAAAAAATGTGAGTTTCAACAAGACCTACCAACATTACGATATTAATGTATATTCCTTAATCTTCTGCAGCATTGTTTCCAAGATTATCACAATAAGTTATTGCAAATAGATGAGTCACTCAGGTATTAAGTTGCCATTCGAAAAATTCATGGGCTGAAGATTTCTGCAATTACTGAAGAAGTTAATATATCTCCAAATATAATTTCTAGATTAATAATCTCAAAATTCTACTCCCCTGTAAAGCTTTATGAAAATTGTTTCAGCCATATAAAACAGCTACTCAGAAGTGAATAATTCAGAGGCTGTCCATGATCAACTGCATGTTCTATCTATGGTAATGTGGGTATTGTATTTGGTTACATGGCAAAGTAAATGTTGCAGTATGTAAGAATCTTAGTGGACAGTATGTTGTTTCTTTTCTGGGAGTATTTCCTGTCTCGGTGCTCATCATTATGCAAGATAATCAAGCCCTGGGTCACATTGAAAATGTTACGGTTATGATATAGCCTGCCCAAACCCAGCTTCTTTGGGAAGATCATTATTCAAAAAAAACTGAAGAATAAATGATTTGGGGGTACAAAACTACAGTAGGTACACATATAAACAAATCAGTATAGTCCTATTGGAATTAATTAAAAACCAAGGCCTCTACATGTCTTATTAATATTCTAAGTTAATATGGTTGTTAATTTAATATACATTGTATTTACTATTTTGGCCACTATACTTTTTCTTTTAATTCTAATTAACAGTTTTTATTCTTTAACTTTCTTTATCTTTAGTTCCTTTTGTTAATGTAAATTTGCTGAAATGTAAAACTTTCCTTCTCTAATATTGGTTACTAATGTAGTTTTATTTCCCCACTCCCTCCTATTCTGCTGTGTCACCATCTGTTAAGTATACATTTAAAACCGTTTTGTATGACAAACTAGAAATGACTTCTATAGATGAGCAATCATTTACATCATCAACTATTGTGTTTCTTTAGTTACAGTGGAGATGGACATTGACTCCATTAAGGATTTCTGTCTCCAAATAGCCATCATTGAAAGAAAATGTCAAGAATATCAAATGAATTTAAAATTATCAACATTTGACAAATGCTAAACTAAAAGGCTGAAGCTGTCTTGCCTTTGAGAAATTAATCCTCTAGAGTGTTTCATTCTTTATTGTATTTGCTATGAACGTTAGGTTTGGCAGTGAAGACGCTTTTTCATAATAAACATTACAAAGTTCAGGCAAAAGGTTCTTCTATCAAAGAATCCAACATTCTGTAAAAGAAAGGAATATTTTGTTCTCTCAAATTGTTATTTCTACATATTTGCAGTTGAGTGTCCAAATGCATTTTAATATTTATATCAAATTGAATGAGGTCAAATGAATTCAATCCAGTTCATCCACTTATTAATTTCTTTTCATACATGTACTTCATATTTAGACTTTATATGTTAATAATGAAAATCAATAACATCTACATATTACTGTAACAGAGTATCAAAATGAGTTTTAAATTATGGAAATGATATTTCGTACCCACTGTGGTCTTTGATTTCAAACTTGTACCAATAAAGAGGAACAAAGGCAGAAATTATTGAGTGCCTGGAACAACTTCCATTAATAAAGAAAATTTATTTTTTCTTTTAAATGTATTAAATATTTAAAAGAAAAAGAAAAAAAAAGACAAATCCCTAATTTCACAAAATGAGCCATTTTTAAGTCCTTTTACTCAGCAAATTTTATAGTTTTTCTCTATTGGGTGCAGAATTTTATTAATTATTTTATTTAATTTTATTAATTATTAGAAACAATAAATGAAATTTACTGCGTTTATTAAAAAGGTTTTACAAAGTTTTTGTTTTTCTAGGTCAGCCATTTTTAACTTAATTCTTTTCTTTTTTTTTTTTCTTTTTTTTTTTTTTAACATCATCAAAATGTTTCTTCAAGTCAGTCTTTGTTTATTGTAAACAAATTTTGCATGAAAAAGTATTTTTCCAAAAAGAATTTGCCATACACAAGACTCAATTGTCTAATTTAATGCACATTGACAGCATTCAGTCATTTCTTTGTTCAAAAGTTAATATTAGACTAGCATTTTTTACAAAAATATCTTTAAAATTTCTCATTTCCACAAACGAACAAAGATATGGATTAACATTGACCAGACAAGCTGAATTTAGTGTGAATTAGTTTTCTTTGCAAATCACTTGAATAGAACATGGTTTTACTTAATCAAAATTTGCAAGTGTTAAGGTAAAAATTTCAATATTTTGTAACCTTTTATAGTAAAGTGTGCATGTGTGTATCCACGCACACATAAATATTTGTATTCCCCAGTAAGATGCAACAGGATTTTGGTCTTGTGGAAAAAACTTTTATTCTTTTAGAATGCAAAAAGGTTTGTAAATTACTTCCTGATATATCAAGTGTTGATACAGTTGTTGTTGACTTTTTGTTTTGAATTTCTTAATTTATAACAAATTTCTCTTTTTTATTTATTTATTGCATTATTTTTTTATATATTAAGTTTCCTTTGACTTCATGTCACCCATTGGGAGGGGGGGGCTGATGTAGAAAATGGCATAAAATAAGCCAGAGACTCATTTGCTAAAAAATTTTCTTCATATAAGAAGCTGATAAAATTTGGTAAGTGACCTTTTTTATGGCCTGGTTGTAAAGAAATGTTTGTTTTTAGAGAGAAATGCAAACAGGTTAGTGGGTACAAAGGTTTTACTAGAGTGTGTAGCTTAGTACAATAAACTTTCATTAATTTTTTGGAAAAAATTAAGTTTTATTTTTTAACATACAAAATACTCCCAGTATTTTAAAAACAATTTAATGATTAAAATAAAATCTTCTTTAATAAAAATGCAATATTTTTTTTTTTTTTTTTTTTTTTTTTGCATATCTATTCTTTAAGTTTTTATATTTCATACATTGGTTTGCAAAATTGAATAAACTGTAGAGTTTGTAAATCTCAACATGATAGCGATAACTTCAATAATACTAAATCATGTCAGCTTGTTGCAAAAAAAAAATCTAGTTTTAAATATTTCAGAGATTCTTTATTTAAATAAATGAAATCTAAATACAAACAAAAAGATTTCAGTACTTGAAATTTTATCCAGTAGGTGCAGAAGTAGTTTTAGGTAGTATTTAATTAGTAGTAGTACTATTAGTAAATGGCGTTACATAATAAACAGTCACCAACAATGGGATGATAGTTTATACATGAGCTTTGAAAGATTTTTCTGTATGTCTCTGAAATATTTTTGGAATAAAATGTTGTTTCTTAAAGATAATTCCAATAGGAAAAATGTGATGGTGAAAATGATGTTTATAAAGAACAGTGCACAAGAAACTTTCATTTCACTGTTGCAATATAGAATGGTACACATTAATCATTCTACTTGACTGGCTAGGCAATCCCTGTTGCTGATATCTCTTCCGACATACATTTGTTTTCTTCAACATCTACAGAGCCAACCTGTACCTTATTCTGTCACTATGTTGAATGAACCTTAGTCATGTTAGTTTTTTGGAAAGAGCATATGATATAATGAATAGTTGAACAAGACCAGTATGCTACAACCCTCAGTCATGCTGACTTGTGACTTTGTGCTAACACAACCATTGACAGCTTCCAAACAATTTCATTTACCCAGTTTTTCTCACACGGCTTTGGGTTAACCCATGGTATAGTTTCCCAATGCTGCCACATTCTGTATTTGTCTCCTCAGGTGAATGGCATGAAAAAGTTACCTCCTTGAAAAATCTGTTGAGATTCTCATCCAGGTATCATGGTCAGGATGCTAACATTCTAACGACTGCCATACACCTTTAGAACTCTGCATTATTAATATTACTTCCATTGCATTATCTTTCAAGACCTCACAACTGCAGTAATCTTACTGTTAATTTCACTTAAAAGCGTTTTCTGTTGCTATAGCAGGATATGATAACACAACTATGAAATTCAAACAAATTCAAATATCAGTCACCTTTAGTTGCAGGATAAACTTTCTGTACAGCAAATGGATTTACATACAGCAAAATAAAGGTTAATATAGATGGTAAAATATAAATAAACCTACATCTAGTTTAGTTTTCTTTTTCATAGAAGTAAACATTTAATATCTGCTGTAAA